TACAAAAACAGAATGAAAGCTCCCATAAGTAACCTAGTACATATCATTAAAAATGTCAATTTTCCAGCTGGGTAGCTCATTACTTAAATTAATAAAACACGCAATTTATTACACGTTAATATTTTAGATGAGATATTACTTGAAGAACTCAGACATGAAATGAAAGTTTATAAACATTATATAATGTAAGTAATTATCGCATTTTTGTTAATAAATTGTTATTGTCATTTGAAAGTCGTCACGACGCACTCTAGTAATTTTAGAATGTTCAAAATTATTATGTCATCAAATCTCTAAGAATTTATTGTCCTGTAAGAAGTGAAAAAACCAACTGAAGATATATTCATTCGTTTATTCATCACAAGCCTAATAATATTCCATAAGGATGGAGTGGAATCTAATTGAATTGATTAGAGAGGATGGGCCATGACGATGTAGATACATCTGGGCCTTCCGAAGCACGGATGAGCTTAATATTAAAAAAAAAATTGGTCTTTATGAAAATAAAGCAACTTTCGCATCGCAGATCGGTGAGCTTCTGAAAATATTCGTCGAATTATGTATCTCCATGTTTTTCTCGCTAATCAGACGTCAGATCGCAATGTTTTTTTTTTTCAGACTAATAAATTAGCTTTTAACTTAGGGCAATATAAGTTTCGTCAAAATCGGTTCATAATTTATAAAAAGCTATTAGTGTTAAAGCATCATATAAAAGATTTAGCACAGATAAATTTATGAAGCTTCTTTTGAAATCGATTAGTTTATCTTGACAACCCACACAAAACCTCAGCCCGACTTTAAACGAAGTTTATTTTTTTCACTTTTATTATAAAGCTTTTTTGAATCCGGTTTTATTTAAAAAAGATATTTGACGCGACTTGGAATTTTATTAAGTAAATGATAATATTGGGGGCCATTTTGTTTTTGCCGTGTACGCACACGGAGAAATGTGTTATTGAAAGCGTCCTAGAATATGATATGGGCAAAGACTCATACTCATCACCATATAGTGCATATAAATAATGCACACATATTTGTCACTTGCTGCTGCCTTGAATTTCTACTGACAGATTTTCTGCTAATGCAGATTAGCCTATAAAACCTATTCCTCAGGCGTATCTGTCGAGGGTAGTTAGTATCTTAGCGACTTGATCACTGCATCGTAAACTTCATTCCCCAGAAGAGGGTATACCATAAGGGTTTTGGTGGATACGCCTCCGGTGACGGAGGAGAGTCCCACATCACACTTGCCAGATGGCACTGTGCACTGTGCTTAAAGTATTTATCCGACGCAAAAAAGACGTGTTTTACGAGTTCTCCGTGATAACGAGAGACTGACATCTTTTTAAAGACACCAGGGCAACATTAACTGTTCTTAACATACCATGCAGTAACTATCCGTTCTATTATGTATTTAAAATTTTTGAATAAAAAATGTCTCTGACTGACGATGACCGTGCAGTGATTGAGACGGAACGAAGCAAAACGTTATTTTCTACGTTCAGTCGAGCTTCACTGAAACCAATTAAGAAATTGTCTGGCTGATTAAACCAGGACCAGATGACCACAAACCACAACTAGGATGAGACTCGGATTATTAGAAGTTTCTTTGAGATTACGTGAGGGATCACTCGTGCCTTGTACCAGGGTAAAATAGCCGAGTAAGAAGTATTTTCTGTTAAATTTAAAATAAGATTTTAAAAATCTTGTTCTACAGTTAGAGATAAACTCTCTTTCTTCCCTCTTTTAAAGTATTTTTATTTTAAGTGACATCATTTTATTTAACTTCTACGTAGTTAAGCGGTCAAGGTCTTTTTATCGGTCATCATTCGTGTCTCGGTCAAATGCATCTATTAAAAATATAGCCCATTACATAAAGAAGGCTATCTATAAAGATTTCCTTAACTTTTATACTAAACAACCTGTGTAGTACCGTACATTTCCTCATTAAGCTCCCGCTGTATTATGTAATAAAATCAGCCTCGACGTCGAGCACAGCACTTGCTTGTGTGCTTAAATGAAATAAAATTTTCATTATCTTTAAAGAAGGTTTTATATGATCGAACCTCTACGCTGCAATAGTGCTGAATTACACTATTTAGATTATGTCGGTATAATGGGATTTTATAAGCACAATTTATTGTGAAAAAATAGGATACAGTATAAATAGAATGTTCTTAAAATTCATAAAACAGTTATCTCCTTATTCAATGTTAATTGCATTTAAAAATAATACTATATCAATCAAAACAAGTGCAAAGTTTTATCAAGTAATCCATACGGACATTCCTATTTTTTGCATTGACACTTGTAAGATTTAAAACTAAATTATTTCAACAGTACACTGATAAAATTAAGTGCCCTATAGTTCAAGGGCAGCAAGTTTATATTCTCATATTTATTAGATAATACGAAAAAATGTTTTGTTTGAATGAATAAAATTCATCGACATCGAATAACATCTTATCTCATCTGTTGGACTACCGAAATTAATTTTTAATTTTTCGCATAAGTGAATAATTAATGTCTTCTCTTATTAACTATGAAAATGTGTTTTTTTGTAGAGTACCTACTACTTGAATTTATTTACAAATACGCGTTAAAGTATTCAAATATGGATATCACATTTTTAATAGATTTTTAAAATCAAACACGTTTATTTAATAAGAAAATACTATATGAAACAAGAACATCTTAGACCAGGCTGTATGGGGTGATCACTTTGCCTTGAATAAATATCAACAGCAATGATTAGAGCACACATAATAAAAAATAAAACACGATGTTAACGTTTTAATTGAAAAGGACATTGGTAGAAAAAAAAACTAGCATAGCTTAAAATTCGGAATTTTATATTTAAATAAGAAGTCTTTGGACGTCCTAAATGAGTTTTCTTATAAACTGCACCCTAAAAACTAGCCCGTTCGTATAACTCTATACATTTAGCCCCGATGACACAAGATGCTGCATCTCGTTGCCACATCGTCGCGTTTACGTTGCGTAATCGTCACGTAACCGACACTACTGACCGACTGTCCTATAGTACACTAGAAACTGGTCGGAAAATGAACCGTAATGATATCTGTGGTGAACTTGACGAGGGCAATCACTTTACTTATCTCTATGATTTAATTTTAATAATGTTTGTGATTGAGCATTTTGAAAATTGAGCTTGCGACTTTGCCCGTGTGTACTTTAGTTATAAGGGCGTATGTATTCATTAAATCCCTTATAATTGTGACAAGTGTCAAGTTCAAAAATGAGATAATTTCCATACAAACTTTACCCCTTCATGTTACTCCTTTAGGGAGGAATTCCGTCCATTTTACCTACTCAGATTATTTTTAATTGAAATTAAGACCTTATATATGTATTTATAGAAATAAGAAAGTTCCATATAAAGCCCAATTTCACCCATTAGGGGTTGAGTTTCTAAAAATTCTTTCTTAGTGCTGACTTATATCATGAAAGCCTGGAAACAAATTTGGTACAGGGGTTCTATATCAGTTTTGGCTGTGTATTGATATATAAATCAGTCGGGTTTGCCTATTCTATTCAGATAGATATAATAATTGTAAAATTATAATTTAATTATCGATTTGCTTTTATTGATATGTTATTATATGTCTTATTATTATTACTTTTATGTTATGATTTCCGATACAATGAATATTGTTTTAAAAATGAAATAGAGACAAAACTTGTAAATAACGTACAAATCAGGGTTGCCAATAAAACATATTGCACTCCTTAATAAAATACACACAATAAAGAAGCAACGTTTAAATAAGCTGTAATTAAGTATGGGAAAACTACATCACACATTTAAAGGTTCTATCACAACCAAAACGCGGATTTAAAAAAAAAAAATCGCCAAAAAAACTAACAGTTCCCCGTAAAACTCATCTCAACTCAACTTGTGATAAGGACATCAGTAGAATTGACGTGATTCATAATTCGTCATGTTTTTCAAAGACACGTTTTTAATGAATTTGATTCTCTTATCTAATCATATATTTTGTAATCTATTGCGTCTTATCAAGCTCCGATTGATAATAACTTCTCTGATTTTACATACATATATGCATATGTGATATAAAAGGGTTGAGTAAAGCCTTATGATGCAATAAAAATATTAAAAAGATTTATTATTTGCATTGTGTTTAAAAAAATAAGCGTTTTCATTGAACCGAATTCTATTTTTCTCTTGCACGAAAAAATAAACTATACTGTTTTTTGTTGGCTAAAATGTATAAAATTCACTTCTTTTAGTAATGGTTTAAAAGATTCGAAACGATAATTTGTGATACAGCCCCTATTGATTTATGTTGACCTAGTACTAGAATTATATAGATAATTATTAAGCGGTTAAATGTTAATTAATCAGTTGGTTGCGTGCGACTTTGGTGAACGGTATCCGTGTAAAGTATAGCTACGTTGCAGTGCGGCTCGATGGGGGTGTTAATGACCAACGGCATAACGTGCCTTCCAAAGCAGTAATCGAGCCTGGCCAAGATAAAGACTAAAGTCTTGGCCAGTCTTCATTACTCTTATGACGTTTTTCGTTAACTCCTGAATGAATATATAGTTTGAATATTTATTCACCGAAAACAAAACTATTATTAAGTAAGTTTTTGCAAAACTTATAAATTGCAAATAAGTTTCAGTTAGTTATGGAATTTATTAATGTGATAGTCTTAAATGATATGGATAAAGTTTGTTTTTTATTTATATTTCGAAATTCTTAAACAAAATGAACTATTCAAATTTGAGTGCTCTTTGGCTCATGAAAAAATCATAAGCCAATAAATTTAAATGGATTTTTTTTTGGCGTCGCCTTATGTATTAAAACAAGTAGTTTTAATTTCGACAAACAATCCACTTTTAGGAATATAAAAATAATAACAATGCCATCTATTGATGCTAAATGAAATAATGCCTATATATTGGTTTCACCTTATGACCAGAGAGAACGACTATGACTATAAATGATAACTTACCGCGATTTATTTTACCCTGTTGAGAGATCAGCATGTTCAGTGGTACAGTTCTGTCCCCTGGCAGACGGAACAGCCTGCTGCGAGCAGACTGGCTCACCGCCAGGTACTGCTTATGACCCATCTCGACGCTTTCACTTCTACATTCGGTGAGCGTCTGAGAACAATACAATATTTTATTTATTCATAAATAGCAACAACAGGACCCTTTTCAGTATCCAATTTTTTCCCTAACACTCTTTAATGTGACTTACATGTTGGCTTGACAGTAGTTTTATTCGCTAGAGAACCAATTAGTGGGATAAAAATTAGCCTATAAGATAAATTTTATCAAAATCCGTTCAGCGGGAAAGAGTAAAAAAATCACAAGCTTTTCGCCTTTTATATTTTTATAGTGCTCATACTTGGTCCAGGTACTTAACTGGGTACAAGGTATCCCCCTGTATATTAATCTGCCGCGCTTTAGTAAATCCCGAAATCCCCGCTTGGGCTCCCCTACTATAGCATCAGTAAGATAGATGTTATGTGATAGAGCGATAGGGGATAGGGTTATTATAAAAAGCTTTCTTAATAAAAATGTCTTTAATAGTAGATTTTTTCAATTTTGATTTCAGAAATGCATAATTTTTATCAGGTTTTTAACAGATTATTAATACTATTATACAGATTACTACTATTATCAATGAATTCGTAAAGTCTACAACTGACAAATGATAGCTGCAATTTACAGTAACTTACTGTCGCCAGCACTGCACACAGTTTTTTATACATATAATTCATTGTCAATCAAATAATTTCAGTTCTGCATATTTGGAATAAGAATAAAGAAAATCGTTACGACTCGCGATCGTTGAGAAAATGATTTACATTGTTTGTGGACAAGCCTTCGAGAGGAGGAAGGGAGGGGAGGCGTTTTCTCAAGGCGATCCGGACCAAATTTCTAAAAGACAAAAAGTTTAAAAAAGTTTTTATGTATACTAAGCGGTTGGCAAAGGTGACACTGGCGAGATATAAATATATTTAAAAAATAACAAACATCAAACACCTACCATTTGACTTGAAACAAATAAAGTAAAAAAACAACGGTTACTACACTTTTTTTTTTGGATTCATTAGTAATCATTTTTAAACATTATATTTTTCTTATAACAAGTGCTTGAAAAATTCTTCAGTCCTGTTAGTTCCTGGGTAGCTCAGTAGTTAGAGCAGCGCCCGGATTGCGAACTTCATGGGTTCGAGTCCCATCTCAGAGTGCCAGGAACAAAATAGATTTTTAACCATTTTTATATGTAATAAGCATCAAATATAAATTGATTTGATGCTATTTGTTATTTCAATGTAGGTATGTAACATTGAAATAACAGAAATAAACTAACAGACCTAGAAAAACTAGACAAATAAACGCTTTCTTTTCTATTCTATAAATAGGCTGATATTGACGACGATAAGGATTAAAGGTTAACAATAAGAATGGAATTGGCTGAACGAGACGAAAGAAAGATTTTAAAACTGTTGGTATGCAAACTCTACAACGAATCGCGAGAATTAGAATATCACCTTTCATTCATTTTCGTAAAGAAAATTTGTTCTCTTCGGCTCGGCTTGATGTGCCATTAGATTAGTCACGTGAAAGCTATAGAATAAATAGCTAAGTTTATCTGGGACACACGGTTTTACCATTGCTTTTCTTTTTTTTTTATTATCAAGTAAACAAACTTATAATTAACAAATTTGGATAATAGGTATCTAAAAACTTAATTAAAGAAGGAGAAGGTCTGGCTACGCTTTAAGGTTGGCGACGTCGCCCATAAGTGAGTTCGTTGGATGGTATTAGCAAATATATAATTGATATCTCGAGTACTAGGCGATCATATCTTTATAGGAACTGTATCACACTATTTAGCGAATTGTTTGTTAGTCAAGTGGTGTATGAAATTTTAATTTAAGATAAATAAACATTGTAAAACAAACAGTATGCATTATACGCATAATTACCGGTTAATTTGCGACGTATAATATTGTGCATTTAATATACACATTACAGTAGTTTGGCAATTCCAACCCAAAAGATCTGTAGGTTAGGCACACGATATAAGTATTTTCTATAAAACATACAAGTTGCGATGTATATTCATATAACTCAGGACGGATTAGTGAATGGTAGCAGCCAACGAAGGTGCCGGTGATATGTACATAATAAACTCATTGGTCACCCAGCCGATCCCTGACCTTAACGTCAGCCGCTTAACTTCCACAATCACTGATACTAAATGCTAGATATCATTTGGCAAGAAGTAAACTGACCAAACGGTTTGCCTGCTTACTTGGATAAGTAAATTAATGTTTATGTAATACTAACTGTTTGCACCTTCAGAACTGGTTACATGAGCAGTTGTCTATTGAATAATATTATGAAACACGTCTGTTATAAGTCTAGTTGGATCGGCGAATTCACTGGGAAAATAACTTAGCTGTAAAAACTGAAAGACTTTTCTTTTCTAGTTGCAGAGACAGATTTTCACAGCTTTAGGGGGTAGCGTTGCAGAGCGATTTTGTAAAAATCCGAACTCGAATTCAAATACACTTATGTCTTCGCATTCATTTTATTTAGTATAGAAATTCTATTGATCCCATTTTTATATAAAAATACAAAACAAGATTGAGTGATTGATACATGTCTCAGATATTCAATTCCTATGCCATTTCGAAACTCACTACACTTATAGTATAAGTTAAACGTAATACCAATTCAAGGTTGAGCAGTTATCGGCTTTGAAGTGAACTTGGAAGTGAACACTCAGGTGGGGTGAACTCGAATTCGGGTTCGGATTTTTACAAAATCGTAGAGCTGTTCTTAAAGCAATAGTGCTGACCTTGAAAAATTGTATTTTTTTTTATATAAGACTTAATAAATAAAACAATTTTTAAACGGTTTCACCGCGTTTGTATTTAGTTTTGTAGACGTTTCGGACCCTTTACAGGTTCCGTGTTCACATAAGACTAAGGTGCCGCTTGTCTTTTTAATTAAGAGTATGGCTACCTTCAAAACAATACTATTGGACACATTCACAATACAAAATATATATTTTATGGCAACATTTAGATTTATTAAATTAAATCATTTTAAAAATACATTCGACTTATTTTTTTACCCCCGGCTACCGTAATCACCAGTCCAAAATCTGGGAGTCATGTCTGAGAAGAACAAAACAAACACTCACAAGAAAAGTAAACTGTGTTCAAAGTCGGGTGTAGGTTTTCTGTAGGTTAATAATGAAATGATAGGCGCCCGGCATCAACAGCATTTTCTTGAATAAGTCACTTTTTAAGTTTGAAGTCTGTTATATTTTGTTTTTAAGTTTTTATTTCATGCTTTTTAGTGATGTTGATATTTTTTATATAATAGGTAACACTAAAAATACTTTTCAGTAAACGTCGTCAAAATCGATTCTTCCAAACGCAAGATAATCGCGAACAATACACACAACACGTGTTAAAGTACGAGCCTCCATTTTTTTTGTCGCTATACCTAAAACCTTCTCCTAACTTTGACAAATACTATGCCGAAAACCGTATCAAAATCGGATAGACCAAATTTGAGATAACCGCGTCCAAACATACATACCTACAGGTCAAGCTGCGACCCTCCTTTTTTTGAAGTCGGTTAAAAATATCTTATAATAAAATCTCTTAATGATAAAAACTGACACTGATGCTAAACTTAGGTAACGTATTCTTTATAAAATGTATAAAAGGTATAAATATCAGACAACATTAACATTACGATCCGAATTATGGTTGTATTATAGAAATCTGAAACGGCGAAGGTAACACGACACCGAGACCCAAAACAAATAAAGAAAACATATTTTTTTAAATCGACTTAAAAATTACATTATATAAAAAATAATACATATTTTTTAAAACAATATATTATAGATATCTTTTAAAATTCATATACGATATTGTCATATTGCAATTATAAATGGGTGATTATTATTTTATTTACAATTTTGGGCGTAAGGTGTAAGATTATCCCGCGACTTCGTCCGCGTAAATTACAGCCTTGTCACCCGCGAATTTTATAAATATATAGTCCATTAATATCTGAGAAATAATGTAGAAGTATGAAAATTTTGAGTAGGACATGTTGTGGCCATTTAGGACTTGTAATCATTTATTATTACTGAAATTATCGCTTACCTTTTGACAAACAGCATATATTATCTAAATGGGACTAAAGTTATTTTGTCGCCATATGTTTATGGAGTAAAGTTATGAGCGGGTGGCCATAAATGGAACCGAAATTACGAAATTATCCATCTTTGGCTACATGGCTGGACAAAAGTGGTACTTAGAAACTCCACTTCTGGCCATTTATATTTTATTGTGGCGTTTTTACTTACGTATGTGTTTAAACAATAAGTTCTTTTCATTTTCACAGTTGCAATAAAATGCCTTCACCAAAATCAAAAAATGAAAAAAATTATGTCTTAAAAAAAACCTAGTTTGCAAAAATGGGTTCTAAAATTATTGTTTAATATTTAGGAATTCTTCAAAAAAAAATTTTTTTTATTAAATGAATACATGTTTATTGCTAGTAATAAATAATTAAGCAATTTCGATGATACTATTTCAAATTTAATCAAGATTGTTTAATATATGATGTACTTACTTACGTACCTCGTAAACATGTTAATTTCTTTATTTGTAAACTAAATTCAAGTAAAGTCCTTACCTTAATAAAAAAATGTGGAATTTACTAATAAATTATGATTACTTTGCATTCATCAGATTTTTGTTTTTTGGTGGCCAGAACTGGTACATCGTCGTGGCCAGAAATGGGATAAAGCTGGCCAAATATGACACAAACGCCCGTTTTTTTCTTTTTATAGGATTATCTTTCTATTGGATGTCCTTCAAAAAAAGGGTTTTATTAGGTAATGTGTTTGATAGCTATTTAGAAGAAATATGTCCGCAATAACAGGAACTATAAATTAAGAAAGCCTCAAAGTCGACAACTTTCTTTACGAGTAATTAGGTAATTAAAAACATCAATCAATTGTCCCCATCCATCTTATTAAAAAATCAGAAGAAACTTTAGTGTCAGGGTTTAATCATTATCCGACCAAATTAAGTCAACACGTCCCAATTTGA